CCAATTATTTAGATTAGCGACATTTTCCTGCATCTCGTTGCAGGGTTCGTCCTTGCCACTGCACATATTTCTCAAAAAAGCCAGTTCCTCGAGATAGAAAACGAAGGTGTAACAGCTACGAAGAGCTTTTTCCGAACTCGCATTGCGGCTGCCACGATGGCAGACATTGCTGGATCGGTTGCGCGCATTCGTCTCATTACACTCGACATCGATAAGCTCTCGACGCGATCGCGCGCGCATCTTTCACTCCTGACGAATTTCTAAAACATTTCAAACGTCGCTTTTGAAATATTAGCGTTGCTCAGGAATATTTTTCAAGTTTTCTTGTGCTTTGGCTCGCTACCCAACACGCGCCACGCTACGTGCGCTCGAGAAGTGTCAGTTTTGGCAGAAATCGCATGGATCGAAAGCCGTGAGCGAGCGCGCAGTCGAAAATAAAACAAAAACAAAAAAAAAAAACGCAAACAACGGGCGCGGTGACTTTCGTTTCAGCGCGAAGCACAAAAGCAAACGTTCCGGCGGAGCGGAACTAGCCAAATTACGCCGACTAGTTGAGCGAACGAGCGGGAAACAATCGGCGCGTGTTCTCGCGTGATATCGATTAGGGAGGCAAACAGCCGCGTCGAATTAGCCTTCGCACGAGCCGCAATATAGCTACCCGCGCTTTCTCTCTCGTTCTTTTTCATTTTATTTCGCTCTTTTTTATTTCGTTCTTTTTGCCTTCGCTCTTTGCAGTTCCGGCTCTCGCGTGACACCCCCCCCCCCTCCCCCTTTCTTGGTCCCGTTTCACGTGGTAGGGACACTTGCCACAGTTGAATAATCGAGGTGCTACACCGCGGAATTATACGCCTACGCACACGACCATTGATTAACGCGGGCGTCGGAAAGTGTATACCTACGCGGCGACCGGGCAATCGAGATAAGATTAGAGCCGCTCAGCCGCCGGTTTCAAGGGAATCTCGATGGCACTGTTACCTCGGTAAAGATAGCAATTTGGACGAGTGATATTTCAATTTGGTTATTGATTATTTGTTGCTTTTCTGTGTGATATTTTTCTAAACCCACCTACTTGCACGAGAAGCGACGCGTTGTTTATAAAATTAGACACGGTGTACATTGATTTTTATACAACAGCCGATAGTTGGTAAATTGAATAATATCACGTGTATTCCAAGTTTTACACTTATAAGTAATCGAAAAAGTATGAATTAAGGAGTTTCGGCCTAAATCCATTAGATGAACATTACGTCTCGCGAGTGGCTGAATCTAATGACCGTTGCTATATAAGACCACTAAGACTAACACATGCCGAGGTTAGTATCAACAGTATCGCGCGAAATATGTTAAGCTATGTTCTCATAGTGATTCAATTTACGACCTACGCGTCATGATCGAGTCGATATCTACAGGCTAGTGGAAGTATCTCGCGCAGAGTTGGCCTAACCTGGGTTCGATCTCTTCTACAAGTCGGGTTTTACTTACACTCTGCCCAGGAGTGGTACTGTCACCCGTCGCGCAAGAGCTTGGTTATTGTTTTATCTTTGCCTACACCAGTGTCGTCGAGCGCGCTTCGCTCGCTCATCTCTTGCTTTAATTCAGTAATATTCAGTTTCATGCTTGAATCAAAATGAAATTATTATAAGAGAAATAAAAAAAATTCTAAAATACACTACAAACATGAAACAATTGTATGTTTTGAAACGCTTACCAAATGTCGATATTAACTTTTCTTGGGAAATAAAAAATACAAATCCAATCACATTATATAATAATAATCTTAAACCGAATAACGTAAGAGATTTTTAGATTTTTAACTATATAGCTTTTTTTCTTTTTCAAATAATTAAAACCGTCGTTTTAAAGTAAATATTGGTTTATGGTTTCAAGCTTTTCGTAGGATATCTCCATTAACAGATAAGTTATTTTAACTGCTTTTCAACTGTTTTTTTTCTCAATTATTCATTCGTAATCATTCAGAGGGTTCATTTAAATTTGTCAATTGAATTCCACAAATTTTTCTCAATAGATCAACGGTACTAGATGTATCGAAAACAATTTATAGCATTTCATATTCTCTTCATTGTTGATATTTATTCAAAGCTAAACTATACGATACAGATATTCAATAAATGTATGTGTTTTATAAATAAATGTAATTGGACTGCATTAAGATTCCTTTTTCGTATTTAATTCAAGGTTAGGCCGGTGAGAAAATGTGGGTTTTATTGTCTTTTCAATACCTAAAAATTGTTAAACTTATTTTTATTCATTTAATTGATTGAGTATCAATCGATATAAAACTCTTTTGTCTAGAACTTAGTAGCACTTCACTCATAACAGAACGCACGTGACTACATTCAGCCAATGAGATTACGAATAAAATGACTTTACGCTACAAGTCATCAGATTTTTATATAGGAAAGAGAAAATTGAATTTTTAGCGACTTCGCAGACTCGCGCGCGAACTATCGGCTCAAATTTATCGTTAACGCCGAAAAGTCAATGGAAATCGCAGCTACGGCCTTCAAACGAGAGAAATAGCGGGGGAGGTGCGCCAAACGCAATTGCAATTAGAAAGCGCACTGAAAAGCCCCTGTGTTTCGCAGCATTAATTGAGAGGGGCAAGTACTCGGGCGATCGAGCGTAATGCCGATAGGCGGTCATTGCGACTTACCCGACGGACGGCCAAACGCGCCACGCACGCATCGCATGCACGGCTGCCACAGCGCGCGCAAACGTCGGCCCGCCGCTGAAAATTGAATGTGTGACGCTTGACAGACGTTGGCGCTACGAATTACGCGGACATGTATATGTATACCCAAGGGCCTTTCCATTACTAGCCGGATTATTCCTGTCGGATTTCTCATCTTTCCTTTCTTTCTCTTTTATGTGCAGCTGTGATTGCCGCTGTAATAAGATATTTTTCCCTGTTATATTTCGATGTTTTCTTTCAATTATTCCTGTTCCATTCTCTCCTACCAATTTGCGAGTACGAACAATGTGTTTGTGTCCAGATATTCAACCGTCGGTCTAAATGTTTCAATCAACTCAAAGTAGTTGTTAAATGTCGTTCCGTTGCCATATGGCGCATCCAACAAGTTCGGCAAACCAGTTCACAAAAAATACACAACGAACCACTCGAGCTCCAATCGCATCCTCTACTGCGCAAAAAAGCAATTTAATTTGCGCCATGGAAAAATTAATTAGCCGTACCGATAAAATCCAAGTTAATAAAGAGCTCCCGCCGTAGCTTGGAGGAGAGGCGAAATAAAAAAAAAACGCAGCACGATTCATTACGGGAAAAGGAGATTGATTAGCGCCCGTGTTTCAATAATCCGATCAATTAAAAGATGACAAAGCCCTCGCGCGCTGCCGTAACAACGCGGAGGCCGCGCTGCCGAGGATTTGCGCCGACTTTGCGCCGCATGTCCCGACGGAATACCCGCTCTCCTCCGGCTTTTTTTTATTCCTCCGTTCTAATAGGCTTAAAGGATTAGATCGCGACCGCAAAAAAAAAAAAAAAAAAAAGACAGAAAGAAAAACTTTGCCTCTACGGCAAATTGGTAAAAGTCGACTGGGCGACACTATTAAACATTTTAATTGGGATTTTCGCGCGGACCTTTCCATGATTGCTCGGCGCGCGGTGGAATGGGAAACGCACTTGTCACTCGTTCAAAGCTCATTTGCGCCAATATTGTATCGCACTTTTAATCAGTTTGCCGGTTAATTCCGACTGAATCTCATTTATTTTGTATTTATTCGCATTCGGTACATGGTGATTGCATGCTTAGTTCTATTGAACGTCCCATCAGTTTATCACCCTTACCGTGGGCACGTCGACAAATGGCATGTGTCAAACTACCGCTGCCGACTGGCACATCGAGCAGAATTGATCGGAAGCCGAAGTGCGCGGTACAGCTGAATTGTTTGGATGGGATCAACGGTCGGTAAGTGAACTGATTCCAGTCGAGCATAAAAACTGGCATGTTCCGGCAATGAGCAAGCGAGTCTGGCGATTGTAGCTCTGGTACGCGGGCAAATAGAACAATCAATGAACACCTGAGCAAGAGTCAAAGCAAGCTACGCACACGGGCGGCCGGCTGGCCGGTGAATAAGTTAATTTGACGTTTGAAGTGAGTTTGGGCGATCGGCCAGAGAGCAAGAGAGAGAGAGAGAGAGAGAGAGCAAGCTGCACACGAGGAAAGGGGGGCAAATAGTACGGCATAGCGTGCGCGCGGTCGATGCGCGTCAGCCGGGCTTTTATCGCTGTCACGCACATAATTAATTCAATTTGGTTTAATACATCGCTCGAGTCCTGCGACGATTGTTTGCGCGGAAACGACGCCGTTCAGCCACACGGCCGACGACCGAACCACGCAGTCGCGCGCCGCGCTCGAGATTTTTACATCATCGCTCTCGCTCGGTCATCCGCGAGACAAGGCTGCTCTTCGAAAGCTTTGCGAACGTCGCCTCGGCGTCCTCAACGATTTCGATAAGGCCCGCTTAATCATCGGCAAGGCTCGCTGTCGTCGCGGCTTTCGTGTGCGCGCCAAAACAAAATGTGGTTTTTTTGAAATTCACCTCTGGATGGCTTTCATTTTTCGAGTTGCAAGAGGCAGAGATAACTATATATACGAGATACGATCGAGGAAAGACGCTCAAGGGTAGATCCGGTCGTTATCCGTCGGTCACTGGTCGCTTTGGCTGTATCTGCCACACCTGTGCTCTGCTCGGCAGCACCAAGTGGCTTTGAGGGTCACCGTACTACAACTCATTTTGCGTCTTTGTACCGCTACATTTTATTTTTAATTTTGTCAAATTGGCGATCGCCGTACTTTAGTCGTACTTTAGTCGCAATTCAGTTCGCCTTTTCATTCAGATTGAGAGCTAATACTCCGGAGCAATATTGACGCCGTGGCCAAAGAAAAACAGTTAATAAATAGCATATTTCCGATAAAGTCTCAGCCAAGTAATTGTGCACATGGAAGTTGATTACCAACCTGCACGCGAACTTCGGGAAGATTAACCTTCATGGCGAGCTCCTCGCGCGAGTAAACGTCCGGGTAATGAGACTTCTCGAAGGCTCGTTCGAGCTCGTGCAACTGATAGGTCGTGAAGGTCGTCCTGTTGCGTCGGTGCTTCTTCTTGTTACTCGGACATTCCTCGTCGCTGTTGCCGCTTATCGAACTGCAGTTGTTGTCGCCTGCAACTCAAATTCAGCGCTGTACTCGGTAGCCTGGCTGCAAATTACAACGTCCGCGCCGTCAGCGGAAAGCGCGGCCTCGAGATCGGCTCTCGCGATTGGCAGGCTCGCGCCACGGTCCGAAAGAACAACGCGGCGGGCGAAGGTCGGTCGAGCGAAAATTCACGAAGCACCGGCCAATGGAATCTCGAAATCTCGCGTTGGTCGACGCACACCTCGTCGTCGGCCGAGCGGAAGCCCAGGGGCATCGAATTGTCGCTCTCGGATTCTCATTAGCTGCACAATTAACCGGCTCTGTGTCTCCGTCTCTCTCCGGAGAGCGTCGCGCGCGCACTGCATCAGATCGAATTGTGGGGAGGTAATCAGGCTCGAGGGAGCGCGTGCAGCGCGCGGGCTCAAGTTTCGCCGGGAGAGAGAGGCTAACCATCAGCCTAATAACTCCGCCTTGGCCCGGCTCTCATTGGCGCGCCTCTGCCGCTTAATTATCAACAACAATCAATTACGGTCGAGCGTTGTGCGCCGCACTCGTGCCTCGCGGCAAGCTCCCGCTCCCGTGATGGCTTTCGCTCGGCCGCGCTGTTTCGCGAGCGCAACGAGTCTCGCCAAGCCTCGCCGAATTAACCGAATTCGGAACGTCCGCGCTCTCCGCGCTAATGACCTCGTCGCGACTCGGACGCGAATCGAATCCAACGACCGCGCCTACCAAGCGCGATCGTTATCCGCTTATACGAAATAATCAACCGCAATCGTTAATCTCGCCGGCGACGCTGTGGATAAAGCGCTCACGTGCGATCGCCGGAATTAGCATAGCGGGGCTCGGGCGGGGGGCGCGCAAATTGAAATTCACCGGCCGGGAATCGAAACTCGCCGGCGCCGGCTCTGTAAACGCGCGACAACGCCGGAAAGAGCCGCGCGCGCCCACACACTTTGTCCGCGTTGAAAATTGATTCTCGAGCTTGTTTCTTTTCGCGGCGCTCGCGCCTCTGTGTGCGTGCGCGAGGGTGACCGCGCAAAGTTACTATCGCCGCAGTGACTAATGGCCGTGCGCCGGCGAAAGAGCGAGCGAGCATAGAACGTTAGCGGTACCTGGAGGTACCACCTGCGTCTACGCGTGCGCGTCGCGCGAGCTGCGTTAATTAGCAGGGGTGCGACTTGTGCCGCGAACCGCGATCAAACTCGCATCGAGCATTTACGAGGTCGACGTTGCGCGCTCGCCGTTTTCCTTTTTGTTCTTGTTTAATCCAGTTTCTACGCGGACGTGTGCCATTGAAACGCGTTTGTCCGCAAGGGTGCGGCAACGCGAGACCATCGCTGCACGTCGAGAGCCTAACGGGATGACCCAGCCGAGTACGATGGACCGAAAACTGGCATTACGGCAAGGCATCTTGATGCACGTTTATAAGAATTGACAGCTCGGGCAGTTTCTCAACAAAGGATCGTGGGAGGGGAAGAAAAGCGAGCAACAAATTAGTCGGTCGCAATTAGCTCTCTCCGCTACCGAATGTCCGACGGCGGACTGGCCGACGTGGGAGCCGCGAACGCTTTAGTCTTCCTTTGTAGCTACTTAGGAGAGATCGAGCCGTCAAGATAGGATAATGGACGTTTTTTTTCGTTCTCGTGGGCGAGGGAGGGCGTGAGTCGGCGCGAGACCAACTTCTTAATGGATCCGATCGTCGATAAACGAAGTGTCTTGAGTGCGCACGACTTTTGATTCTTCGTCATGTTCGACAGAGGCTGTTGTTGCAGCTCCGCGCACTGCTCGACTTTCTTTTCTCTCGCTCTCTCCTTTTTCGATCGGATTCCGATTCGATCCTCGCTTCGCTTTTTTTCTGTCTCTTTGACGAGGATGTTTTTTTCGTTGTCGTGTATCTTCGTGAATCGTCGAAAATTCATTAAATCGCCGAGGATCGCCGAACGGCCGTAGATTGAATGATCGATTTGACGCGTTACGTCAGATCGTAGTCGGTCGATACGATGACGAGCCGAAAACGCGAGAATGTTTTCGATTTGGAGATGGCATTCGTTGGATTAGCATGATTAGTCTCCGGAGCAGCCGTGGAAGCGCGACGGAAGGGAAAAAATATGGCTGTCGCTCGATTGCTTAAGCCGAGAGCCTTGAAGAAAACACGCGCGAATCCGACGAGTGAAATTGACCGAAAGGAGAAGAAGAGAGAAAAAGGCCAAGTGGAAGGGAGGCGCGAAAAGTGAGACGGGGCGCGATCCCGGGCCGGCCGACGAATTAAGATAACAGAGAGAAAGATAATCGCCTCCGTCGATTAAGCCTCCGCTCTCGCGTTCGCGTTGCCGCCTCCAGCCGTGTGTAACGAGCTGCGCGAGAGGCGAGCACAACGAGTAAAAAGGAAAACCCTCCGCTGAACTTGCCTCCCCGCCTTCCGTCGTTCTCGCGAGGAGCAATAGCCGACGAGCAATTAGCCGATGGCTTTTAGCGGCGCACGCAGCCAGCGTTGTTCTTTTAAAGTCATTCTCGGCGTGAACTCGCGCTCGTCGGGCCAAACGGAAACGCTCGTTTGTCAACCGAACGCAATCGAATTAGCGCAAAGTCGCCGCCTGCGTCGGCGCGTTGGCGGCTAATTCGATCGGAGGCCAATCGATGAAGCGCTCAATTGACGCTGTAAGCGCGCTGACAGAGCGGCGCAAGCGAGTAATTAAAAAAGTCAAGATCGACGAGGAGTCGGCAAAGGGAGAGGATAAAAGCAAGAGTAGCACTAATAGCATTAAGGCGGAGCGAGCGGAGGGGGTCAAAAATGAGAGTAAAAATGTGACTAAGTAGTGGAGGCAGGCGGGCGCAGCGCAGTATAGAGCGAGATTAACGGATGAAGCTAGGCTGACAGCTTATTAATCGTCGGGCGCAGCGCTCGCGCTTCGATCGGCTGAAATTCGCTGAGCGCGCGGGGCCCGCGAGCATAACGGACGGCCAAGCAAATTGCTTGCGCTAAGTAATTTCTTTCTCCTCCTGTTTCCCGAGCGACTGCGACTGCGACTGCGACTGCGACTGCGACTGCGACTCGGTATTAAATTCGTCGGCAGGGCCTCGGCGGCACCTCCTTCGACTGGCTTCCGTCCTTTTACAACCGGCTGCGATTCGCACTCGGCCGAGGCGAGGCGCCCCCGGCTCCGTTTCATTTTCGCTATTTTCAGTTGCTTTCCACCTTCCCCCGTTCCCCCGTTCCCCCGTTCGCTTCGGCACTGTCATTATTGCTGCCGTCGCACCTGCGCGTTGCCGTTTCAATCGTATATAAAAAGCCCGTGACGCGAGTCTCCTGCGAAGTATGCCTTTTAATTCCTTTTCATCCGTTCTGCACCATCGCTTATTTGGCTCGCGTCAATATTTAAAAAAAATGCCATACGCGAGATTCGATGCAGAGTCCAACCGAGTGCCTGCAGTAGCACTTCGCATTCGTTAGCTCCATTGAAAATAAGCGTGCGCTGATCCGCACACGGCCAGAAGAAAAGGCCGAGTGCTCTCGATTCGAAATCTAATTTGTCCGTAAGTAGCGTGAAGCGAAATGACGAAGGGCCAAGAGTGCGCCGCGCGAATGGAGACGAAAAAAAGAGCGACGTAAGCGTCGCAGGAGGAAATAGAAAGACGAAGCGTTTGTCTGCGCGCGCGCGCGCCCCTGTGTTGTTGGACTTAGCTCGCCGACCAAAGAGGATTATGGAATTGGTCTTCTCGAAGCGACGCAATGAGACACAGGGATCTCCATCTCTATCTCTCGCCTTATTTGTCCCCTCTTAGCATCTGCTTTTCTCTCTCCTGTGTTTGGCCTTTTCGTTGTGTACGTTCATTGTAGATTAGACAGGCAACGCGTTTCGTAAATACAACTCCAAACTATATCTTATCGGTGCCGTTGAGGTACGGCGGTCGCGCAAAAGTTTACTTTGGATTACTGCTAAATGTGCTTGTCTCGGCGCTAAGAGCTGTTGCACTATCGCGCTGAAACTTAGCGCGCGAGCAAACAAAATTTTATTGAATACAATTGAGACAGACATCCGTATATTTTTCTGGATCAGAAAACCTTCCGTGTTAGTTTTCACTCTATTGGAATTAGGTAACAAGATTGACACACGAAGCAACACATTTCAAACGAAGCTTGTTTTCAAAGATTATAACAGGATATTAATCAGATAGAGTTTCCTCTTACAAATCATAATCGAAACATGCGGGATTAAGCTCGCCTATCGCACAAATTCTAATAACCAGTTTTCGAGTTTCCACGCGACGAATAAAATTATGCGCCAGTGAAGAGAATCGAAGCATCCGTCGAGCCAAGTTTCTCTCGAAGGATCCCTTCGCGAACGAAGTAAATACAGTGCGGATGCTAGGAGTCGCGACGCCGTGGGCTTTCGCGGATGGATCGCGTTTCGGACGATTATTCGCGGCGCGGCAGAGAAATCATGGAATTCTCAAAGGGCGAAGAAAAAAATTATCCTCTTAAGAGCTCGCGGGCCAAGGCTCTTAAGCTGTCATCGAGTTCTCGCGCGCCTTCGGGTATAAAGTTTCGCGCGCGCGCGCGCGCACACGGGCTCCGAGGTCGCTGCACTTCTCACGCCTCTTTTTCTCGCCCGCCTTCGTGAATCTATCCATGGCTTACCGCGGATCCTCATCAATTCTGCGAGCTTTCGAAGCCGGACGAGGTGGCCGCTCCAAAACGCCATTCGTCGTTTCGACGTTTGCGACGAGTCCCTAGCGAGAGACTCGCCGAGGGGCTTACGCAGCCGCTGATAAATGAACGAATCGTTAACCCGTATACTCGCCACGGCTTAATCTCGGCGAAGGCGAGCGCGAGAGCAATTTGCATAGCTACACCTCGGCCAGCAAAAAATAACGCTTCGCCTCGCGCTTATCAATTCAATTAGAGGGCTATTTTTTCGCAAAACTCGTTAGGTTCTTTACTCTGCGTAACTGGCTAAGGGGGCAGCGATCGCGTTTTTTTTTTCTTTTTCTTTTATCCTCCCTTCCCACGCGCGTGCAGCGCCGTTATCGGCGACGCTTAATAATTTAATTGCTCGTGCTGGCGTGCGCGAGCTTTATTGGCTTATCTGCTTCGAGCCATCGTACTCGTATACTTTTTTGCTCGAGAACGCCTCGCGCGCGACGCCGACTTTTGACCGATCGCTCGGTCGACGCTCCGCGACGGCTTCTTTATTTTCTTCGCTGGTGGTTGCTGCGCTCGGGGGCGACACGTAGACTGGCCGTGTTGCGAACGGCGAGTCAGCGAAGCAGTCCTCTCCTCCGGAAACGAGCAGAGGGATGAGGCAAGCGTGGGTGCCATTGGGACGCACGGACGCGGGCTATTAATGCGGCTAATCGGCGCCGATGCTGCCCGATCCCGCTCGGACCGTGTCGTCGATCCTTGCCCGCCGAGAGCCCCCCGCGGCCGCGCCGCGACGCCCCCTCCGCGCCACGCGCGCGCTCGCCCGTTGCGGCCGGCGAGCCGGCACTTTCCTTCCGCTCGCGACCTTTATCGAGGTTTCGTTTGAAGTGCCGGCCGTTACACATTGGTTTTTATTGGGCGCGCGCGCGCCCGCGCCGAGTGGCTAATGAGCGCGCCTCGATCCGTGTTCGGCGAGGCCGACGGCCCGCGCCCTCGCTGTCTGCTCCCGACCTGCTCGTCCCGACATCATTAATGCACGCGAGGATCGATCGCACGGCAGCCCACTTTGCGTTGATCAAGTTGGCGCGCTCCCGAGACGCTTTGTATTTGCGCCCGAGCGACCGGGCGACGACGCCTCGGCGGGCGCCCGCCGGCCCTCGCCGCGGACGAGCGGACGAGCGGACGAGCGGACGAGCGGCGTCGAGCGCGCGCCCTCGCCGCTCGTCGGGCCTTATCGATCGCGCCGCTGCGCGCGCGTCCCCGTGCGCCTGTGCGCGCCACCACTCGCGAGCGTATACGTGTGCGCCAGAGCGCCCCGGTACACCCGAGCACGATCAATCCGACACCTGTGTACAATTAGCGCAGCGCGCAACTGCCTCTAATTCGCTCTCGATTACCGACACGAAGAATCGGCCTCTCTCCTCCTTCCACCGGAACTCGATTAGCCCGGCCGGGCGATGAAACCCCCGGAAAGTCACTCACGGCGACACGTCAGCCTGTACGCGCGCGCGCGCGCGGATGCCTATCCGACGGATCGATTTGAGCGTGGGTCGGCGAATCCGAGGCCCTATCCCGATACCGCGCGCCTTCCTTTCTCTCGACTTCGTACCTCGGACCTTGCAACGCTCGGCCGCGTCATTGTTGCAACAACCGTTTTTCGCGCGCCTTTGTCCTCCGTTCGGATGATCGTGTAATGGCTTTTAAAAATCACGCCGACGCTGTAACTCAATCATACGCCGACTTCATCTACGTTGCCAGTCATAACCGAACAGATGTGCCATCAATTCAATAACGTTTTCATTTGGGGACGCATACATATACAGATACACAATCGCGCATCGAGCTAAATAGGCGCGAACCTCTTCAAAATTGTTCTCGTAATTACATCAAATCTCCTTTTCATATCACTTTGTACCATGCGAAAATTGCATTTTGCCCTCGAGATTTGATATTTGACTGAATCTCATTGTAATATTATTCGATGCATACGCAATGCGGATGGTATAGGCGCAGTGGCAAACGCTCTTTTTTCCATCGATTCATCAACTACAAGTCAACAAATCAGAGTCGCGCAGAAATAGTTTGCTCTATCTCTAACGGAACAATCAATGAAACTCGCGTCACTCGACTGCAGAGTCATAATACTGTGGGTACGATGCGCCAACCTCCCGTTCGAACGAGCTATCAGCTCGCTCTGTGAAATTGCGAATCCAGCAAAATCGCACGTGAAACGACAGAGCCGAGAAGAAAAAAAGCCGCGGGAAAACGCGCGAAAAAAACACAACAAGCGCAAGTACACGGAGTCGAATCAGAGGTAAATTGGCGCGGAATTACCGTGAGCAATTGGGCGGTGGCGGCGTATGTCACGCGATCGGCAATTACTCCCCGTAACAAAGGCGAGCTGAGGCCCCTTTTACAACAGCCAGTGCTTTTAAACGAGTTCGCTCGTTTCGGCGACTCGCGCGAGCTTGTTTTTTTTTTCTTCCTTTTTCAGGCTTTTTCAGGCTGGACGCGCTGCTCCGAGAAAATTGAATAATTCGAGCTGCCGCGATTGTCGTGACCGATAACAGCGACTGATTTACATAATTTTTTAATCGGCTTTATTAAGCTTTCGAGCGTTTGTTGCGGCATAATTTTGCGTGGCTTTCGATCTTATTCAAGCTATTAAGGTATTGAAAGAAGTGAACGACGACGCGCGTACGCGCTGCCAATGTGTGTTTCGCGTGCACGCGAGTCTCGATTGAATCACGGCAGTTTTGCGTTGCGACTGGCGTTACGTAAATGTGCCAGAATTTGAATGAAATATTTGCGATCCGTTTGGAATGATCTGTAATGTGAAATAAATGTTGGAAAGACTCGTAAAAATCGCGTGAGGAAATACGTGTTCTTGCGGACTTTAATGGCTGTTTCGCCCGATCAGATAAACTTGGCTTTCTTCGAAGAAAGATTGAATAGTCGAGGGGGTTATTTTCACTGGCTACACATGGATTACCGTGTATTGATAACGAATTTAAGGGTAAACTAGCCTCGCATTACCATAATTGTGAGTGTATCAGTATTAATGGGTGGCAATTTAAATTCATTAGCCACTTAGCGCTTTATAGCCGTTCTTGTACGACAAATCATTTGGCGATCAACTCAAGACAAGCCGAAGGACAGTCGGTTCCTAATGAAAGGCGCACACGGCGACGCATCCTCTCGGCAGCTGCCGTGCGTCTCAACACGCGGCTCTTAATTGCGACTGATTGACAAGGACGCTCGCGCGCGCACAAAACGAACCCGTAGGCACAGCAGGTCTGCCTCTCCACGTGCGAGTCCGAAAAACGAGAGAGACGGCTTGATCCATTAGTAGACACGTCAATTCAGCTCTTAAGATGCCACTGACTTAAGACGCTCGCATCCTCCTCCTCCTCCTCCTTTCTTCCTCTTCTCTTTTCTTCCCCCGTCTCGAGCCAACCTCTATTCGGCTCGATCCTCCTTTCGCTTTATTTTCCGACTGCCGGCGCTCATCCGTCGCCTCGATTGGCCGGCTCGCTCGCGCTATCGTAATTCGCGATAATTCGATTAGCCGCGACAAGATTGCTGCGAATGCGCGAGCGGTCCGCCCGGCCGCCCGCCGCGGAGCTCGCGATCCGCTCTTTCCGCTCCCCGAGCGTCTGCATCATAGACGGCACGGCGCGCACTCCAGCCAGGCCGCGTAATCGCGCCGTGGAATCGAATCGAGCACTCGCGTACGCGATCGAAAATTGAATGCGCCCAATTATCGAGACTTATCGGACGACCATCTTAATTGATCCGACGTTTATTGCGTCCGCCAGCGGCGCTGCCGGGAAAGTAGCGCGCGCCGGCACTGCACCCGGTATCGCGGTAGTGTGCGCGATACAAATTACTTGGCCGACGACACGTGAGATCCGCGGCCGATACTAACGATTTTCCAATTACGCGCCATCCGGCGCAGCCAATTACACCCGCCCATGCTCGGCCCGAGTGTGCAGCTCTCGCTCGCGCCGTTTCTACGTCTTTCGTCTGTGCCCCCAACTTTTCATTTTGCACGTTGCCCCTGCCCGCCAGATTATTTTATTATCATTCGTTTTCCTGGCTCTGCGATTACGACCTGGATTCGAAGCTGCACGCGCTTCTCTTCGCGCTATATGCAAATTTTTCGTCAAACTACATTTTTTACGAGTAGATAACAATCGGGCGTCAGTGAGGTTAATGGTGTTGGCAAATTATCGGACTCACTTGTCAAAATTAAATTTAATCAAACTAATTTTTATTGTGTCAGTCAATGACATAAGCAAAAGCGGCTAATTGCTTGTAAATATCACGAATGATCATCTTTTACATCAACTCCGATACTTGCGCAGTACTGAAACATTCCTTAAAAACCAATCCTAAAATTAATCGTAATCTCAAATTAATTTTTGAAAACGAATCGCCTGTATTGCATATTTTATTCGAAAGGCCGTTGTACCGTCGCCGATACAGCGGACATACGTTGTATTCCGTTATTGATTAGACTAATCCAATCCACATCTGCCTCCCCCCCACACACCCTTCCCAACCCCGCGGATTGGGTATTAAACGCTTCGCAAAGGCATTGATAAACTGTTGCTCCCAAGCATCCGTGAAAACAACGGCCTTGATCAATTCGTTTACTGGCGTTGCTTATGCAAAGGCGGCAGACCTCAAGTCGGTGGCCGATCATTCGGCCAATTAGGAACGCGAGTCGCTCCTCTTCGGCCCGCCAAAATAACATTACGTTCCGAGAGCCGCGCGCGACGGCTAATCGCGTCTGGCACATCAAGGTGAACGGGCCGGCGACCAATTATTATTACGGCTGCTGCTTTTCGCCTCGTGCTCCGCGAGGATTATTCGCCAAATCGTCGGCGGCGATTTTCAATGGGTTCAAGCCTCTTTGGCTTTTAAGTTTTATTTATCCTATCCTCGATCTGTTTTGCGTGACGATGAGCTGTGCAAAATCTATGACACATGATTGTGAAATAAAAATTGTTTTTTAATGTAAATTGGGCTATGCCATTTTGATGGCACATACATTGGTAATAAAAATAGCATTGTACATATTAGCGTGTAGCGTATGCGCTTTCGTGAAATTCACGATTATTGTTCCTTCGGTTTCGCGAGACTATTTTAGCGGTCATTCTCGCGCTAATCCTTAGACAATGAGTAAAGTTAAAAAAGAATGGGCATTGGAATGAATCCCTGGCGTCGTTCAAGTGTACGCCGAAGAAATGTAAAGAAATGACGAGATGGGATTGACCACGACGTAAAATCAGGCGAACCGACAGTAAAAAAATGAGAATGCTAACCGGTGAGATCCTGAGAGTCGCCTTGGTCCTTCAATTCTTGGTGTTTCCTCTTGCGATTGGCGAGTCCGAGGATAGCGTCGATGCTGTGCCTGGGCGTGCTGCTCGCCGGCTTGGGACTGAGCTTGTCACCGTTGGCCGTGGCGCCCTCCTGGTCCAGCTGTTGCTGCGAGTCCATGGTCGCCGTGCTGCTCGTGGACACCGAGATCATCGGACTGCCCTCTTCCCGAAGAGGCCGAGGCGAAGCGTGGGACCGGTGCCGCGAGCGGAGCGTGGTGTGCCGGGCAGCGAGGCGGGCGCGTTCACGCACTCAGTGTCCGTGGCACTGCATGTCCGGGAGGAGAACGAACCGCACTCATGGCACAAGGAGAACACGTGGCTCTGTCGCTGAGTGGCGGCCGAGAGGTGCGAGCGGGCGAGCTGTCCACCCCCGCGGAGGCAGTAGCGACTGGCGGCGGCGGCGGCGCGCGAGCGAATGAGCCGCGACGGCCCGAGCCAAGGGTGGGCGAGCACTTGGTCGCGCCAGCCGCAGCCGCGGGCACACAGGTACGCACGCACACGGCGAGCCCGGCGGCGGCGGCGGCGGCGGCGGCGGCGGCAGCGCCGGGTGGGAGGAGGCGCCGCGCCCGGGCGTGGCCCGCTCGGCCGCGGCCAACCACTGCCGAGGCTGCGCCGCGGCCCCGGGCCAATGGGAGCCGCGCGCCCGCCAACATGGCGGCCGACGCTGCTGCTCATGCGCCGCCGCCGCCGCCGCCGCCGCCGCCGGCGCGAGGGGTAAGCTGCTCGGCGCGCGGCGAGGGCTGCGTACTTCGCTTGTAGTCGGATTTATTAAATAGTTAGGCCAAAGTTTGGAAAGCCCGTTGCCAGCCGCGCGAGGACCTTTGCCAAGCCTCTGTGTGCGCGCTGGCTGCGCGTATTTATGATCGTTATTACGCGTATTGCGCGCCTCATGGATTAATGAGCCGTCAACTTCTTATTAGATTAAGCCTTATACGCGTCTCCGGATTTTCCCTGTCCGACCTGCTCTTTCTTTTGTTTGTCAATTTTTTTAATGACCAACTCGACCATTCTTTTTCATTGGAATCGCAACATCGACAAATTTCAATAAAACTAGCCGTGCAATTTACGCGACATATTCCTCAAAAAGTCTTGCTAAAAGTCAACGAAATTCCATTGATGTTTTCCGCTATTAAAAAAATTCAAGTAACCATTCTATTTATTTTTCTTCTTAAGTGCTCATAATATCCTAGCACCGTAAGCTTGCTTTCACACATACGAGTACTTTAAGATAATCTCGTTCTAATTTTTACATTCGAATTATATAATAAATTATTCATCGCTATAAATTAAAACGGAATTATCTTAAAAATTATGTATAGACAAGACGTAAGCAGAAACAGATGTATTTTTAGTAAAATGTAGTCATGACTGAAAATGAGCCGTCATGTGCGTCTTATCGAAAGATATTTGACTTGAATCATCGCGGCTTTTCGTACAAGTCAAATATATTTTCTAATAATGTATCGGATCACATACATTACAAGTGCTCTATCAAGTCGCGCTAAAATACATATGTAAATACGTAATAAAATTACTACGCTAACCAATTTGTGTGATAAAGATTGACACGCTTTGAAAATCGTAGGTCATGAATTTTTCAATGAATATCAACTAGCCGGTTCGTTTCGTCTTTCGTAGACAGAGTATTTATGTACAAAGACTCCGAAAATACTAACTGGAGGTCAGCGAGACCGTCGAGAGACGAACCTGACTTCGAGTGCGTCGTCTAGCACTGCAGTCAATATAATTGTACTTAATTTAGATCCTAGCAATGGGCAGCTCGTTGTATTGAGATACGCCGTCTCTTATTTCAAGAGCACTGCATAGTGCTAACATTTTCACGACAGTCAATTGAACTGCCAGTGTGAAATTGAAATTTAGGTGATTTTAAAACACAAGGCGATCCAATTGTTCGGTAGCACTTGGGTAGGTTAAATCCGAATAAAAGCTAATCCAATGCAAGTAGCTGAAAGGATACCAGAGCACAGAGTGATCTGCCAAAATTGGGGAAAATACTTAGTCGAAAGTTGCTATTGCCTCGTTGATATTTTATTGAATAAAAATGTGAAAGATGAAATGAATGGCGTATACACAAGGTGTTCGAAAGGAATAGGTAACAAAAGGTAAAAATGAAAAGTTGTATATCTAATAGAACTTTGTGATATTGTACATAAGTATATATAATTTGCCTTGCATAAAAGTCAATCGATCGATTTATGAAATCTATACAGTAGAGTTGGATGCGGAAACTCGTTTGCTTGTTTCGTACGTGTGTTTTCGATAGTTGAGGAAAACAATGGAGATTGAAGCGTTATTCTCGAAAGGCTTTGTTCCGTTCCGATCGATGATTCCTCATGGAAATCGAGTGCACGGCGTTTTTTCGGCAGCGGATTAAAATGTTGACCTCAATCAACGGGCTGAAAGCGTCGGATGTATTTTCTTTGTCGGCAAATCAATAGTAGGGCTCAATCGGACTCTGCGGAAAATTGATGCGAGCCCGCATGTCGATAATGGAATAATATTTTTTTCGTGCGACCCTTGCGATGTGTGGATGCTGATGCGCCGAAAGCGTGAAACGCAATAAATTTAACAATCTAGAATAATCAGTACGCCCGAAGCTTTTGCGATCCGCTGATTGCCGAACGAACAATTGGCAATCATATACTTTATAGCCGCGTATAACCGAATGTTTCGGGGTCGCATAAACAGCGCTTATAATTATCCGCACATTCGGGCCCATTGAAACACGCAAACGCTTCGTAATTATGCCTATGGCGGCACTTTGACAAACGCAAATTGCACGGCCGCGCGGAAAACCGGATAGAGCGCGAGCGCCCCGAACAATGCGCACGTGGAACAATAATTTTTCGATTACGGAACCGGCGAATCGCGTGTCCGCCCTTTCGCGGCCGGAAAGAATTTCATCCCCCTCGTGGCTCTGCTGACGGATGCCGCGCAATAAACAATCGCGCGGCCCGTGGCGAATTCACCGTCGGATATCGGATCGATGACGATAAAAAGGAACGGAGCGCGGAGCAAAAGAGGCAATCGACACCGGAATCGCTCCGCGCGCCGACCGGCTGATTAAGATGTATATCGCGTCGCGAGGGAGGAAGCGAAAATAACAGAGCGCGCGAGGAGAAACCACGGGGAAGCGGGTCGGATCGGCCTCCTCGTCAACTTTACAAACGACCGAACGTTTATACGGGCGGACCGAGGAGACGAGGAGACGAGGGAAGGACGAGGAAAATCGGTAAAAGTCCAATATCTGGGCAATTCGGATGAGAAATAAGATTATACGTCTGCTAAGTGGCGGTTCGCCCTATCCGCGAGGCATTCGTGGCATTTGTCAAGGCGACAAAGGAGGTCAGGAAGAGAAGAACGCGAGCGCCAAACAAAAACCGGCCCCGACCAAGATACGCTTCCCGTCTGCGGGAAATTGCGTCCGGCACTTTCTCCTCTCTCTTTCTCCCCCCGGCCGTAACAGCCTCTATTTTCCGCCTCTTTCGCCCTGTTTACCGAGCCAACCACCATCGACTCGCCGGAGCCTTCCTTATTGGCCCCATACGTACACTCCGCGCCCTCGCGTTCCACCTGACCGATTGCGCCAACTTTTTGCCGTTTCCTCGATTACTCCTCTTTAGACAGACCGATCGTTTGCTTTTCCGTTTTCATGTTTTCATCTTCCGGAAATCGAACGCGCATTCCGAAATGCGCCGCCGACTCGACGAGCGCAGAGAGATGCGCCACCGGCAAAGAGCTAGGCGCAGCGAGGAACGCCGAGGAGGAGATGAAATTGACCGAAAAATCACTTATACAACGTCCTTTACAGTGGAATTTCCATCAAGGCTCAGCGCCGTGCACGCAATCTTTTTGATTCCGCTCCGCGGCGCGTTCGGCTTTCTTTTTGGCTTTGGATAAAAATCCAGCCACAACTTTTAACGCAATCAAATTTCAGGCCCGTGCCTCCACTTCCTCCTTTTTTTCCCGCGTTTATTCACGCTGCGTTTTCAATTACTCTTTCAGCGCACAAACTTTTCCTCTCGCGTACATTTAATAATTTGCGCGCTTTTATCTGCGCAAATTACATTCCCTGCACATGGCATGACTTGTTTCAATCGAGAAAGTCAATTAGGTACATCGCTCGATACGCTCTTTCGTTTTTTCACTCTTGCGCGGAATTGTTTCGCGAGCGGCCCCACTGATTATTTCTCGTGATTCCGCTTTTAGGAATGATAACGGCGTTGCCAAGTACGCCAAATGCAATTGATCGTCAGGTTATCTGCATCGAACGTATAGATTGCACGTAAAACCACCAAATAAAATAATTGCCAGGCTCTTCCGCACGAAATAACTTTCGGCAGACTTTCGGCCTGGCCGACCCACGTACGTCCCGGCGACCGCGACAAAATCAAAATCTCCTTTTTCCGAGTTGGCCGCAAAAATTAAAAGAGACACAGACGCACTGCACATGCAGGCGAGAGAGAGAGCCGCGCCATTTGGTTCAAATACACGTACGGGCGCGCGAGTACACGCCCACAGAGATGAATCCGCGCCGCAAAAGATATCAGCGTTATAGTATATAACGGGAGAGAGAGAAGCGACGGGGGCTCGCATCAGAGCGGCGAAAATCGATCCGCGGTCGCTCGCGCACATACATGCCCTCGGCCCTCGGCAAATTATACGCCGCGGATGAATTTTCATGACCCTTTTTCCACTTGCGCCCCTCCCTTTTTTCCGCGCCTCTGTGTACATCGCGGGGGAAAAAAATCAGCGCCGTCCTCCCCGCGACTTATTGGATTTCCATTGGTGAATCTCTATACAGCCGATGTAAAAGCGCGCGATGCAATTCTGCCACCTCTCGTTCAGCGCTTTATTTTGTTTATGAGCGTGAGCGAGCCAGTGGCCCGAGATTTTCGTGCGAGCGCTGATTTTCAGCCCTTTTACTTTGTTTGCTCTGCTATCGCCGCGAGGGAGAGGGAGAGGGCCGCGCGAGAATTTTTTTCAATCGAGAGTCCACTTTTTTTTCTTTTTTTTTCCTTCTTTTTTTGCCCCGCTAAATTGACGCCGACGTCCGAGAGGCTTTAGCCGAGCGATAATTGAATTTTTTCGCGATTCATCGATCAGCGCGCGAGTGCAGCTTTTAATTGTTCAAGTCTGATGTGAAATTAAATTGATTAGACGGTCCCGCGCGCTTTTTCATTTTTATGCGAAAACTCCCGGCAATTAATTGCATTAGAGCTGTCGATTTTTAACGAGGCTTCCTTTCTAAAATCGATAATGAATGTTTATCGTTGAGTTTGAAAAGCCGTCGAAAGTAATGTAAATAGAGGCGGCGACGGAAATAATAGAACGCTTATACAATGCGAGTTATTATCCGAATGATAAGCAGGCGAAATTGCAGGCTTTGTCGCTTATTAGCCGTGTGCAACCCCAAAACCGTTCGCAGTCAGAGAGAGAGAGAGAGAGA